TTGCCAGCAGTAGCAGCAGCCAGGCAGATTCCTCCGAGCAGAGGCAAGGGGCCGAGGGTGATGCATGCACCATACCCAGGAACAAGAAAGGCCATCAAAGCCCCAGGAAGGACCATGGCTTGTGGATGCCAAAAGCTGGACAATAATGTCCAGTACTCAGCCTGCAAGCCACACAGCACAGGGCACGCAGACCCTGCCTGCTTCCTTGGCTGCACAGAGACCTTTCCGTGACAGAGGGCCCCTGCTCCAGGCAAGGAGGCAGGAGGTGTGATGAGTCCCTAGCTGCTGGGGCTTCCCTGGGGGTCAAGCAAGTCCTGCTTCTGAGAGCAGAGAGCAGGTTCCCCAGCGTGAGAGCCCCAGGCCCCTCCAGGAGCCCAGGAGGTACACCAGGGCCCAGGGAGCTCAAGGAGCAGAGAAAGGAAGTCCAGGGCCCTGTCTGCAGGGCAGGGAAACTGCAGTGGGCAGGCAGCAATGCTGTGAGGGCCAGGGCTTTGACACAGTACTAGTAGGGTTGGGCACACCTGGCACCGCAGTAGTTGCCCTTACGCCAGGCACTTGACTCCAAGTGATAGCCTCCAGAAAGACCCGACCTGGAGGAGCTCGGCTGAGATGCATCTCAAGGGGACTGTGGAGCTGGCTGTGCTGTGTGAGCATCACTCACATCATGTGGCAGTGGCCACATGAGGGGAATCGTCACTCAGCTGCTGGGGAGCCCAGGGCCCAGGATGACCTGCAGAAGCCCCTGCCGCTAGGGAGGGGTGTGCTGTGCTCGTGGGTCTCATGGCATTCAAGAACAGAGAACAGAGTGGGCTGAGCGAGGTCATCCCAAACACTGCCGTGTCTTGCAGGGGCTAGGAACAGGACCCTCCAAGCGGAGCAGGCTCTTCCTCTGTTCCCATCACAGGCTCTTTCCAGCCTGGAGCTGGGTCAGGAAGGGAAACCATCCTCCGCATGGGCTTGCTGCCATCCCAGCTGTCATGGGGCACAGGGTGGCCTGGGCCCTCTCACATGCTCATGTTGGGCTGAGTTTCATCCCTGAGGCTTCTGGAATGCCAGGGATTTGGGAGGGAGGAGAGACTCTCACAGAAATGTTCCATGTTCCCTCAGAATTAGCATCCTGAGATGCAGTCAGGGAAGCCCAGTGCTTGGAGACCTCGCCTTTTCCATCATCACAGCCTCAGTGCCAGGCAGGTGGCCCAGGTGGGAGAGGGCTGATGTAGGTGTCCGTCTATCCCTCACTACCTCTCAGGAAGACCCAGAGATGCTGGAAAGAGAAGCAAGGGCTCCACCCCTAGGAGAAGCTTCTTCATTTGAGCTGCAAAGAAGGCTATTGCCCGCTGGGCAGAAAGAGCTCAGGTGCTTCTCAGCCTTTGTGTCTTCTGCCTGCTGGTTGGCTACTGTGTGTGGACAGAGGCATGTGGAGCACAGTTGCAGGCAATGGAGATCTGTGTGCCTCTGACAGTTTCGCACTACAAAACTTGGCCACGATTTCAACAATCTGCATGTGAGGGTTGGGGTGAGCCACACACTGTGTCTAAGTTGCAAACTCATAATGTCATCCCCATTCCTCTTGCTCTTGGTCTATACACAGAATTTATCACAGGAATTTTATACTGATTCCTGTAGTGGTTTGATTAACATCTACTTCCATCACTGTTCTTATTGCTCTATGACTGTCTTCTATTTTTATTACCGACACAACACAGCAGCTGACATAGTAGCTACTCAATAAATGTTTGTTGAGTTGAATTGATGATCCTCTCATTATCCCCCATCGTGTTAGAAATTTCCATGCAGTGCAGGATGCTGCCAGAAGGTGGCGATAAATGCAGCGGAGACTCGCTAATCCAGAGGCAGTGGAGGCCAAGAATTATATAACACTTCATCAACTGTGGATGAGGATCTATTTCCTCAGCACTCGGTTAAGGGGTAGCAGCAATAATCAAAAAGATCTGCATTCAGTCCTCCTCTGCTGCAGACAGCCGGGAATGCGATGGCTCACAGGATGCAGTTTACAGTACCAGATCTTCTTGTAGAACTAAAGGAGAGAACACATATTTTATAAGCCCAGGTAGATGTGACTGTTCAACCTGAACATTCTCGCTGTCCAGTATATTAAAATATTTATAGCTGTCGCCTCTGCCAAATGTCACTTTCATGTCAGCATTTAACACTGGAGTTGGAGAAAAATATATTGAATTTTAAAAACAAAACAAATTTTCACCCAGTTTATGAAAAATACTTGTGCTTCCAGGCCCTGTTGTCTTCCAAGAGAAATGAATAGAGTTCAAGGTGCTGATTTCTTCCTAGAGCCTGAAGGTGACATGGTTTCATTCTTCCATGATGGTTCATCTGGATCTGGGCTGCTTCCTCCAGAGAGGGGACATTGGCTGATTTAAAATATTGAGGAGCTGGGGAGAGGGCTCGTCAGCATAAGTGCCTGCCTGGCAAGCACGAGGTCCTGAGTTCAATTCCTGGTACCAAAAGAGAAAAAAAGAAATCTTTTAAACCAGGTGTGGTGGCGCACACCTGTAATCCCAGTTCTGGGGAGGCTGAAACAGGAGGATCACTATGAGTCCAAGCTGCATAGCAAGACTCTGTACCAAATAAATAAAAAGATTAAAATATTGAGGACATGACAGGGCAGGTTTTCAGGAAAATGCCCCTGTAGGTGAGCACGCACACTGTGGTAGTCAGTAAACAGATCTGTGAGACGCATGCACCTTCTAAAGCTCGAAATTTGGGATTGATTTTTCTCTCAAGGATTTTCAAGCTGAAATTAATTTTTTATACACTGACTTCAGGTGCCCAGCTATTTTTGGCAGAGGCTGTCACATATCCCTTATCTTAAAAGCATTCTGTGAAAAGAAAGTGGACACATTACACTGCCAGAAACCTGCAGGAAGGAGGAATAGTGCCCCAGCCTCATGTCCCGAGTATAGAAAGGCTGGTGGAGAGATGAGTGGCAGGGCTTGGGAGTCTGCCCGGGCCTGCTCTGTGCCACTCCGGCATCAGTTCTCAGGTCCCAGCTCCTCCTGGAGCCGTGCCCATGTGGCCGATGGGCACTTCACAAAGAGCATCCACCTCCAAGGACAAGGCCCTTCTTTCACAGGGTCTGGAAAGACCAAACCTGCCGAATTAGAACTTTCCAAGTACAAAATTGCTCCATTCTACACTTGCACCTGCAGCCTGCCCTCAGGTCCAGACCCCCGGGTAGCACTGGGGGCTGAGTGGATCCTGCAGGATAGCTCAAAGGGGGGGGGGGAAGCTTCTTCTTTCTGGATTTCCTCCACAACCGCCCTGCACCCTCACTGCCTGAGCTTCAGTGAGGCCTGGTTGCTTCCTGTGCACTAGCTTTTACCAGTAAGGGACACAGCAAGTAGCAGCTCAGTCCCCACATTGACTGCATGGTCCTAGAGCACCAGGCTGTGAGGTGCTGATCTCTGAGTCCCCAGCACATGAGCAGGGGCCCTGTGCCTTGTGAGGAGTGCTGAGAACAGGCAGCCAGGCTGAGGTGGATGTGCTGTGGGAGGGAACCACCACAGCTTACAGGAGGCTGCCCTGGCTCATGAGAAGAGCCCTGGTTCTCTAATGTTTACTTTCTGAGATAAAGCAATGATGGCTGCTGTTTTTGGCCAGCAGGTTTTGGGGTGATCCACTGCCTGGTTCTAGGACCTAGACCAGACCTCAGTGTCTAGCAGTGACTCAGTGCCCCTGCTCTAGAAGGCTCCCTGCTCCTTGGCCTGATGTCAGGTCCAGACCCCTAGTCCTTATATGGAAGGATGCATTTTTACTTCTGGGAGGATGTTTCCTCCCGTTGTGCTCCTGGGTGTGGGAGAGGGGCAGCAGGACCAGAGCAGGATGTTCGGGGCAAAAGACATCGATGACCTGAAGGGAGATGGCCAGGCGCAAACACACAAAGGGCATCAGGCAGAGGTGGGCAGCCTATACCCCTGGCCAGCAGCAGGACTCTGGAAAGAACTCGACACCAGAGAGCACCTCACAGGTGCCCAGCTCACACCCTGAAATGTGTGCACTCCTGCTGTGCTTAGAGCAGCACGTGATTTGGTTCTGTGTGTTTGGGTGGCTTTGAGGTCCATGTGCTAGCCGGTGTACAAAACTACCTACTCCTGGAGCAGGCCTACCTCCTATCCAAGGCCATGCCGACTAGCCCCAAGGTCTAATCTCCCTGTGGTGTCTGCTACCGTCTCCTCCTAGGTCCACTCTGCCGCCTACATGCCCTTGGTGACTGCTGGCTCTGTGATGACGTCTCTTTATGTCTCTGGAAAATAAGCTCAGTCATGTTCTATTTTTAACAGGTTTTAAATGTCTGTTCTGTAAGAAAAAAAAAAGTCTCTGTAAAAAGAATTTAGAAGCAGAACTTGGGCAAGGGAGGAGTATGGGCTGGGCTGGGAGCAGGTGGGAGAAGAACCCAGGTCCAGGCGACCTCCTGGCTCCAAGCAGTAGTAATCCTGGACTTCCACGCACAGAGGAGCAAGAAGTTGGTGCTGGGTGCCATCTAGCCTCCTGCCTGCCTCCGTCCTGTCCCTGGGGAGACGGACAGAGGAGCTGCAAACTAGGTGCGAGGCCACAGTGCGCTGACTGCTGACTGTGGGTCCCCCAACCCCCACATCGCAGGTCTCTAGCCTTGCCCAGCATAAAGTGGGGCCCATATTAGCTCTTAGTAGGTGACTGCACAATGTAGACAAGAGGTTGGATTTGGCCCATGGTTCAGGAAATTCAGTCCACAGTTAGCAGACTGCAAGGTGGGAACATCATAGTGGAAGGTGTTGGGGAGGGAAGCTGCTTAGCCCAGAGCAGCACAGGGAATTAGAGCCAAACAGTAAGGGGACCAGGGACCAGACACAGCCCCTCAGATGTTCAGAAGCTGCCCCCCACCCCAGGATCCCAGAGCCAGTCAGGTTGGGGACCGGGGTACCTGGGGACAGGGACATGGTCAGCCTTCACCTGCCCCACCTCTGACTGTGCTCTGCCTGCAGTTCTTCCCCTATGGAGATGCCTCCAAGTTTGCACAGCATGCCTTCCGTACCTTCGACAAGAATGGCGACGGCACCATTGACTTCCGAGAGTTCATCTGCGCCCTGTCCATCACCTCCAGGGGCAGCTTTGAGCAGAAGCTCAACTGGGCCTTCAACATGTATGACCTCGACGGCGATGGGAAGATCACTCGGGTGGAGATGCTGGAGATCATTGAGGTGAGCAGGCTGCACACTGGCTGCCCTGGGGCCTGGGTCTCCTCACCTGCCCTGGCACCTGCTTCCTGTGGGTGGCAGCATGCACTTGAACCCACTACCCACTCATGCCAAGGGTTCCACTGGCAGAAGACTTGAGGACCAATGGCCTCACTGGGTTGGCTTCTAGGTCCCTGGTCTAACTCTGCCCTGCTAGGCCAGGTAGTCTCTTCCTCACTCTGTGGCTCTGGGGTCTCCTCTGGGTTCCCATCACTATTGCCCAGTTGAATGTGTAAGCCTCTGGGGTTCCTCTGCCTGCAGCTCCAAGCCTGGCCCCCATTCCTTCTGCTGCACTGGCCTTTGGGGTTTTCCATCATGCTTGGTCAGCCTAGGCTTCCCTGGGCCCCCTGATGCCCCACCTCCCAGCAAGGCCTTTTTCCCTGCACCCTACCCAGCTGTGCCTTCAAACACCTAGACAAGGCTTTCTCCCATGCATGAATTGCTGCTCACTTATCTGGGTAAAAGAATTCATGACAGAATGTGCACTCTATGAGGACAATCTTGCTCCTTGCTGGGTTCCTGGAACCCAGAGTTGGGCCTGGTTCTTCAGGCACTGGGAAGTCTGTGACTGCATGACTGACTTTTTCTGTGAGTGGCTTGGCAGGCTGGCCTACTCATGTACCAGCCACCATGCCTATCAACAGAAATGTGCCACCCACTGTGGTCGGGAGCCAAGTGTTCCATTCATGGTGGGGCTCGGCCTGCTCAGACTCCACAGGCAGAAATTTAGGGAGTGTGGACAAAAAGCTAGTGCCAATGGTAGAAACAGCAGTCCATACCCATGGAGCCAAACCTTCTGCTCCTGCTGCTGTCCAGCCTCCCCACCTTCCCCTGCAACACCAGCACTGATGCCTGTCCTTCCACTCACACCGTCTCCATCTGTGCTTGCTTCTCCTCCACCTGCCTCTTCATGTCTTCAGTGTGCCCCCTTCTTCCCACATGGCCAGTAAACTAGCATCTTGCTCATCTGTATTTATTCCGTTTGATTAAATACACACCTCCAGGCAGGTAGGTGGGAGAGTGCACGCAGCATGAGCACTCCAAGAGTGTGGCTGACTTCGCCACTCTGAGTCTTTCGTTCTTCCACAGTCCACTCTCCTCTCTGGCCATGGTGACCTTCCCATCCAGTAGGTTTTTCCCAAGTTATTTCCTTTGACTTGCCGTTCCCTCCATTGATGACCAATCCCATCCTCCCTTGAGTTCCTCACAAATCCTTGTCAATGCACAAAACCAATGGAAGACCACCACACACCACACAATCCGCAGTGCACAAGGGAGCTCCCTACTGCTTGTAGGGAGGAAACACGGAGGACAGGAAGACGGATGGTGTTTGCTTTTATAGCACCCATGCTCTGAGAAGGTGATTTGCAGTGTTCAGGCAAGCAGAGGCTCATGTGGAGTGGGTACTGTCAGAACGTGGGGGCTTTTAGGCCGGGCACTCATCTTGCAGCAGGCAGAGCAGCCCAGGCTGTCACTGTCATTGGTGAAGTGGCAGTCACTCATGCTAGCTGGGTATTCCAGGGCCGTGGATGAATTGTGTCTGTGTTTAAATGTCATTATAGCACACATTTGCTCTGGTCTTGCTCCATCATGGTTGCCTGTGGCACACTGCGATTGGCTGTGGTCAATGGGAGCGTGTGGAGGCCTGGTTGTAAGGCTGGGACAGCCTTCTGAGGTACCAGGCCCACCTCGTTGAGGGTTGCTCCTAGTTCTTCCTCATCTCCCTTCTAGCTTGGCCTGTCCTATCATGGGAGGACTTGTGGACTGACTTTTTATACCCAGTTATTGGTAATATTTTTTTCCTTCTAAATGTTCTGCTGTGTGTTATTGTCTTTATTCGGGTACTGGGGTTTGCTAGGAGTCATATGGGTTAGGATGATTTTATCTACCATGTTTGTTACCAAGCTCTGCACATGGGTGAGGAATAGACTTTCTTCAGTGCTTTCCTACCAACTACGTGTGGTCATCCCCGGGTCTTGAGGACTATCTCAGCATTCACTGAGATCTGTTTGGCTGATAGCAGCCAATATTGTGCATGTTGGAACTCATTCAGGTATTTCAGGTAACAAAGGCATATAAGATATTTCCACAAGAGGGCTGGGGAGAGAGCTTGGCAGTCTAAACACCTGCCAGGCAAGTGTAAGGACCCCGAAAACTGGGTGGGGTGGCTCACACCTGTAACCCCGGCACTGGGGAGGCTGAGACAGGAGGAACACTACAAGTCTGAGCTGCATACTGAGACCCTGTACCAAATAATAAATGAAAGGTTTTAAACACTTAAAAAATTTTTAAAAGATAACTCTGTAAGAGATACAAGCAGAAAAGAGGATTCCAGAAAATAAGATCAGAGTATAAAAAGGCAAGTCAGGAATTCTACCTGGGAATGCAGGAAATATTTCAGGGGAAGAAATGAGCAGTCATGCCATAGGCCATTGACAGGAGTAAACCAACCAGCCATTTGCATTTGTATCTGGCAGTCTGGAGGGCTTTGGTGAGCAGGTCAGGAGTAGTTTTAGTGGAGTTGGTCAGAGAGGGAAGAGGCCATGAGAGCAGGGTGAAACAGGTGTGTGGGGAAGTAGGGCATTGCCAGTGGGAGAAGGCAAGTCCAACCTCAAGTCATCTGGTACTGGGCAGATGATCCTTGTTAGTGAGGACAATGCTTAGGTGTAATTCTCCAGGAATCACCAGTGAGGACACCTGTTTGGGGGATTATGCCAAACATCTGGACACATGCTTGGGCCACCCTGAAGTGCCTGTCCTAGAGGACGGTGTAGTTTATGGAGGCGGGTCCTTACCTCCTCCCAAGGCTAGCATGCCCTCACCCAGGTTCTGTCAATGTTGGGTGCAGGACAGATTCTGCACTGGTACGTCTTTCCTAGATTGTCCAAGACACAGAGGATCACTTGGAGGTGCGTAATGGCACCATTTCCCACTCGCTGGCTGAGGCCCAGTTGGACCTCAGGTGTTTGTCTCTCACTACCTTTCTTACTCCTTGACTTTATTCATAGTGCTCGGAAGGGATTGGATCGCTTCATATCCCTTGCTGAAGCTAGGGCCTTGTGATTTCATCTTTTTAAAGGACAAAGTGAGAAAGAAAGCTCATGCAGAGATGGCCCATTTGTGTCTTTGAACTCCAGGCATTAAGGTAGTGTCTGCCTTTCCCTCGTCCAAGTCAGGCCACAATGATAAGGCTCCTCAGGCCCACATCCCACGCTAGGCCAGACCCAGGCAACCACTTCTCTACTTTGTCTCCAGGGACCTGGCTTTCTGGACATGCCACAGAAATAGCACCACACAGTACACAGCCTTCATGTCTGCCAATAGCAAGCACATTCTTTCCTGATTTTTATCCAAGCTGTAGCATTTATCAGCGTCTCTTCCTTGTTGCTAGCATACAATCCCGCTTTATAGATAGATCCATAGCATTTCACCTATTTATCAGTAGGCAAGCATTGGGAATTATTGTTAATAATGTTGCTATGAAGTCTCATGCATGTATTTGTGTAGACAGACCTCTATCTTTTGAAGGCATTTTTCTTTTTGTTGTTTTGTTTTTTGGTGGAACCGGGGATTGAACTCAGGTCCTTGTCAGGGAAGTGCTTATTCTACTGAGCCATCTCCCCGGCCCCCTTGATGGCATTTTTCTAAGGAACCTTCCTTCACCTAGCAAATGTTCATACTGAGTTAGTTATGGGGTAAATGAGTCTCAATATGACCTAAATAATTAGGATCTTTTTTACTGTTCGACTTACAGTCCCTAATCCACACAGTTGTCCTGAACTAATCTTTTACAGGTCAGTTTAGATGGTATGCCTGGTTTGACTGTTTAACGCAAGTCCCTTATCAGTTGGAATCACATTTTTCCCTCATCCCAAGGCCAGTATTGGTGGCTGTCAACTGGACAAGCTCAAACTATTTAAAACTGAACCTATCATTTTCCTCCCTGAACCTGTTTCTAGCCCATGATTCTCGATCTCCCTACTGAGCTAATCTTTCTGTCCACTGCCTCAGCCAGAACACTTAAAATCACCCAAAATATTTCTAACTGGCCACAAGACTCACACACATCCGACTATATCACTTGCTCATTGAAAACTTGCATCCTTTGAAATAATTTCAAATTCTTTATCAGGTGTAAAGTTTACTGTCCGCTTTTTGCTTCGTTTTATCTTTCACCAACACCAATTCTCCTAATGCTAAGCTCTAGTCAATTAAAGAGATTTAAAAATCCAATCAATATTATTGAATTACCTATTACCTACTATAGGCCAGGCATTGTGCCAAGCCCTGAAGTTACAAAAATGAGAGAAACATGATTCCCAAGCTCTTAAGATGTGCTTGCCAATGGGGAAGACTAAGCATTAATGTAATGAAGTGTGAGGTGTGTGTGGTTGGGGAAGGCAGTGCAGGTTGTGACGGGTACTTGGGGCACAGGAACTGAGCCCCTTTGGGGTCAGACAGGCTGCACCCTACAGGCTAAGCAGGGCTGTCAGAGGTAGGGGAGGGAGAGCTGCTTTCCACCCTCCTGGGATTCTACTTCATTGTCAACAATGTTCTTTCCTTCAAGGCTATCTACAAAATGGTGGGCACTGTGATCATGATGAAAATGAATGAGGACGGCCTCACGCCTGAGCAGCGAGTGGACAAGATTTTCAGCAAGATGGATAAGAACAAAGATGACCAGATTACACTGGATGAGTTCAAAGAAGCTGCAAAGAGCGATCCTTCCATTGTATTACTCCTGCAATGCGACATTCAGAAATGAGCCAATGCCAACAGTATGGACTGCACCAGTCTCAACGTTCCACTCAGTCTGCAGCACACACACACGCACACACACACACAAATACAAACACACACATACACATTGCTTGGACTACCTATCAATGGACTTGCTTCTTGTGTTTGAAACACTGTGTGCATGAGAATGTCATTTGCTAATGAATTTTAAAAGCATATATTATATAAAACCTGCCACAATGTGATATGTGTAGTATCATTTCATGAAAAATAATCCTCCAAAGTCTGGCAGAAATGTACTACAAAGTTACATGATCTCTGTACCTGTTTTGCTAATGCTGTACCTGACCACATGAGAATAGCACTGAACCCCTCGGTGATGTAACTTAATCCTGAGCTGTGTCGCTATCTGTACAGTAGTACTGGCCAGGCCCATACTGCAGCCCCTGGCTTCTGTCCGTCCACACACAAGCTTGTATTACCAGTAAGTATAAATGTACTACATCTGCATGCCTTTGGGTTTGCCTTAATTCTTACCTCACTTGCATCCTACCAATCTGGAAAGAGCTGTTTTTGATGAATGCAGTATAAAAAATCCTGCTAAATGATTACTTCATTAAGTATATCTATCTACATATACAGAGATATTATTTATTAAAAGTAAAAAGATGGAAATGTATTGTTTTCGCTTGAGTTTTCAAAGGCTTCCAAAAAGGTGTCAATAGATATCTCAAATAAATTTATAACATTTGATTTTCCTCCCAAATTTTTATTTTATAATTATAAAATTGAAATATAACAAATCAAAACAATCAAGGGTCAGCAAGCAACAATTTTCTAGATTTGCCTGTTGGAATTTAAAAAATTAGTGACAAAAAAAGCAACTTTCAGGGGCCGGGGTGATGGCTCGGTAGAAATAAGTGTTTGCCTGGCAAGCGCAAGGGCCTGAGTTCAATCCCCGGTTCTGCAATAAATAAATAAATAAATAAATAAATAAATAAATAAATATATATATAAATAAATAAATAAATAGCAACTTTCCTACTTTTCATGCAGCCCCCAGAGGGAAAATCAGCATGGCATGTAGTGTTTAAACAAAAGACTTGTTCATTCCAAAAAATGCTCATTGCAACAATCATCTCAGCAGGACTCGGCGCTCACAACAATGACAATGTGGGCTGAGGGGCGAACTCTGAGAAGCCATTAGGAGCCATCTGCTTTCCAAACCAAAAGTATACTAGTGTTGATTAATAAAAAATGGGGCGAACTCTCACCTTTTGACCTTAGGAAAAGCTGGCCAAGACTGCTCAGGAAATGTTACAAACAGGATGGCAACTTGGTCTCTTTACAGCGCTGTGAAGAGACAGCGATATTTTCTGATAACAGGAACATCTCTATCTGCACCTTCAGTGGTTACAGGCCACTTTCAGTATGGCCTGGTGTGGCAGAAGAACCGTTGGCTCTGTGTACCTAGTGGCTACTACACCGGACAGTGTAGCACTGTATTCTTCATCTGAGCATTTTTTATTGAGCACACTTTTGAAAATATTGTTTTAGGATTATTAAATGACAGTAGGGACTGGCACATCATGATCCCACTCACGCATTCAATGAGCTGTGGCCAAGCAAACGTTACTGTAAACATTTCAGATACCAGGGTGCCTGACAGGGACAGTCCCACCTCCTGGTACAAGCATCCACACAGTGAGAGCAGACCGGGGAGGCCCAGCACCAGCCAGTGCCTTCCCTACCAAGAAGATGGGTGGGCAACCCAGGAGGGTCTTTGTGATGAGAGCTGCTGAAGCCAGCTCTGGGTTAATTCCTAACAAAGCTAATGCCCAACACCTTCTGCGTACCGGAGGCAGCCCTTAAACACACACACACACACACACACACACACACACACACACACACACACTGTCAAGCCACAAGAAGTATGAAGAAAACCCCAACAAGGCCACAGTGGAGGCTCTGCAGCAGGGTGGAAACTGGCATCTGAAATGAGAACTGTAGGGGAGGGAAGCCACCAAGGGCAGGGACTCTCAAGCACTTTGCTGAAAACCAAACCTCTGGCAGACTAGTTCTCTTTATAAATAAAATGTAAATGTAAAGGCAATGCCTCAATCATTAGTGCTAATTAATAATTTCAGTAGCAAAGAGAGGGAGAGGAGGGAGGGAAGGAGAGAGGGAGAGAGAAGAAAGGAAGAGGAGGGGAGGGGAGGGGAAAGGAGAAAGAAAGAGAAGAAAAGCAAGGTCAGTCAAATAGCTCAGCCAATTAAAGCACCTGCTTAGGCAGGCACAGCAGCTGGGGTTTGATCCCTGGCTTGCCTGATGGCCCCGTCTCCAGGGCACACTGAGATGGAGATTGAGACTCGGCGTGGTAGCGCACACCGGTAATGCCAGCACTTGGGAGGCTGAACACAGGCAAATCACTACAAATCCAATCAACGTAGCAAGACACTGTAGATCCTTACTAAAATACAAAAAAAAAAAAAAAAAGGCAGGAAGATGATGTCCTAATATTACTATCGGGCATATTAGACAGTTATTTTTCTCTTTTGATGGAAGAAACAAACTTTGCAAAAGCAGTAAATCATGTTCAGTTCTATAGATGCTCAGATATGAGATACTTCTCACTCATATTAAGTACAGTATTCAAACTCATCACAAAAATTCAGACACTAAACTTCCTTTGCTAGTAAAATTTATGCAAATGGTAAATTCTAGTTTTTATTTGAAAAAGCACATGGATGTGAAAATGTTTTGATACAAATGAGTTATAACTTGAAATCCAGACCTTGTATGGCTGGTGGGGAGTGCTTAAAGCATTCAGCACTATTTTGTTCTTTCTATAAATTCTTACATTAGAAAGTGTAAGTTTCTGGTTTTCTCATTTAATAACAAATGTCAATCTAGATGCCCTCCCCAACCAAAAGCCAGTTTTTCTCCATGACTATGTAAGTGTCCTTGCTCTTAAGGTATGTCTCGACATACTTCCTTCTCAATTTTATAAATATGTATTCTAATATTTATTGCTAGTAATACAAGTAATACTTTTGGTATTCAGTGTGTTTAAAAGTTCTGCACTAATCCTAGATAAAAGTATACACAAGTTCTATTCACATTTTCTTTTAAAAATTTATAAATCCCATTTTCATTTTTTTACTATAAACTGCATCTAGTCATTCTATGCAGCACACTTGTAAGCATCTCCGACTGCAGGCTGAGTCCACGTTGACCTCCGGTGCTGCTACCCAGGGGGCCTCTGGGGCACACAGCTGCCTGCTTGCTGCCATACATACAGCCTTCCTGGCCCGTGCCCTCTCAGGACGGCCCGGACCTGAGAGCCCTGGACTCTAATCTGAGAGTTTTTCAACCCAGCCAGAGTGCTGCAGGTCAGGGTGGACAAGCTGTATCACTGTTTCGCTCTGTGTCCAGTTGGACAGAGGACAGTAAAAGACTAAGAACACATGTCAGAGTAGATAGTACCTCAGTACTTCAAAAGTGTACCATAAATACAGAGCATATTAAATCTGATGGAATATAACAAGTTATAGTTCAAACCTATAGTTGCCCCACAGGGTTAAAAATTACCTGTGGGCAAGAACTACAGTGTACTTATAGTCTTGTGTAAGTCCCTCATAATTAATGAACAAAAAACAAGACAATAAATCTATTGTAAACTGGTTTTTGTCCAAGGACCATCATCTTGCAACCCACCCTACATAATGAGAAATCCCTCTTCTCTTCTACCTTGGGTCATTTAACTATATGATGTAATATTCTGGAAAAGCAAAACTAAATATAAATCAGTACTCAAACTTTTATTTCCTTACAAAATATTATATAAATGAACCCAAAGTAAAACAGGTATGTACATGTACATATGTATAAAATGTTACTTCTTAAAGAGAATCTATAAAAGTAGATGGTTAAAAAAAATACCCAAATCCTCAAAACCAAACAAACTCAAAAAGACTTTAAATCGGCACTATAAAGCTGATTTTTCTCAAAGAAAGCAACAGTAGTTTTAAACTGTTGGTTGTACTTGGTTTTCTAGGTTTATTTACACATTTTATTGTGGCTAGATAAAAGGAGTAACCCAGTCTCCTTTCACTTCCTTCAATAGTCAGAATTCTTTCCTTTCACAGATCCCTCCTCAGGTTAATCACAGGTCAGCTCCGGTCACTGTCTTCTTCCCGAGTCATGGGCTGGAAAGGCAATGTCATTTGTCCTCTTTCAGGATCAGACATTCGAAGAATTCTAATCAATTTACTGGAAGGAAGTGAGCTAGAAAAAGCAAAATTAATTATTAAAATTTCTAAGAAAGTTTTTATTCATTAAAAATAATCCTATAGGGGGAGTAGCTCAGTGGTAGAGCACTTGCCTAGCATGTACAAGGCCCTGGACGTAATACCCAGCACTACTAAACTAAAACCAAAACCAAAAAGCTAATACCACCTCATTAAGATATAAATCTAAAGAGCTTGCTGTTTGCTAACAGGGGATACATCTAACATTAAGAGTTCTAGAAGAAATACAATGAATAGTAAGGAATTATTTTATTTTCATTTAAAACATTAACTTCCTGTTAAAATTCACACATTTTCACAGTTTGGAGGAAAAATATAGTAAGGGAGATTTATACATCAACTAGTTCTAACTTCTGCCCTTGTCTAGCCAAGAAGGAGTTACCTAAATATTCCTAATCACAAACTGAAATCCCCATAAGATCCCCAGACCACTTTAGAGACAGAATATTAACTCTAAGTAACAGTGCTTGATATACTATAGGCATTCAATAAATGCTGATGACAACAGAAGAGAGCTCTTACAGCCAATTTACCCAAGCGACAGATGGAAAATAACACAAGAAAAAGTTTTACTCTTTTGTTTTTTGGTACTGGGAGTCAAACTCAGGACCTTGTGCTTGCCAGGCAGACAGACGCCTGTGCCACTCCCCATAAGCAAAACTTTTAAATATCCAGAGAAGATCTAAATCTGTTACAATGGGCCAGCGAGATAGCTCAGCAGACTAAGTGCCTGTCGAGGCCAAGCGCAGGAACCGGTGTTTGGTCCCCAGTACCACATGCAGTACCCTTGCGTGCACTGGGCTGGCCACAGAGACCAGGCATAGTGGTGCATGCCTGTAATCCCGGCACTGGGGAGGCTGAAAACAGGAGGATCACTGCAAGTTGGAGCTGGGTAGTGAGACTCTGTACCAAATACATAAATTAAAAAAAAGTACATGAGTACAGCATGCAATATTATGTAGCCATGATACAGAGTGAGGAGATCGTTCAGTGGAATAAGCACTTGCTAAAGAACTGGATCTCAGCTATGAGCAAACAAATGCTTAAAAAAAAAAAAAAAAAAATCTGTTGGAGCAATAAAAAGCTTACTTTTCTTTTCATTGGTCATTTTTGTATTTGCATTTAAAAACTAAGGCTTTATTGGATTTATATTCTCTTTTATATACTTCATATATATTCACACAAAGATTTAAAAAGTTACCTCATGCTTTGTGGGGTAAGCAAGATAAACTGTCTAAAACGCTGGGAATCTGCCATCTTCAGTATCATGTCCATTGCAATCCTCCTATTAACCATATCCTGAAGAACAAAGGCAAGTTAGCGCTGCTGTTATGGCGATCATGGTTTTATAAAAGCAGCATTCATCTGGCTCATACAAAACTCTGGATTTACAACCATTACTGAGAGTGTCAAGAAATTCATATGTAGAATGATAATATCAACAACTGTGAAGGAAAAATAACAGTAATTTTATCTCCTGGGTCAGTGCTATAGTCTAAATGTTTGTACATAAGGTCCCTTCCTTCAAATGCATGTAATAATTGATCAAAAGATACAGAACAGTGAACTAATAGAGAATTAATCTAATTAGTACACAGTGGCTGAATTCCTCAGAATAGTAACAGAAGTACAAAGTACATGGTTTCAAATGTACTAAGTGTCTCAAATTCAATGATTAAGGGACAATGTTTTAAAAGGTCTGCCTTTCCTGTTTTCTATAACTTGCACAATATAAATCAACTTGAATTAATAGGCCACTTTCTTGAATTTTACAAGTTAAACAGCAGATAAACGTATAGAAAAACAGTGTTTAGGTACAGCTAGTTTTTGAAACCAAATGAACAGATCTTGTGCTTACATTTGGAGTTAAAAAAAAAAAACAAAACATCAGAGTACCCTGTAACCCCTTGAAAACATTCTGAAAATTGAAATTGCAGACCAATGCATGCACACATCTTTAAAGGTTTTATTTGAAACTATGTAGCAACATGCATGGATGGCCAAATCAGGATCCCAATTCTGGATATATCTTCTGAAAAACAAAGAAACTGGTCAGAATTAAATCTGACATCCAAGGTGGGGAGTGAGACTGTGTAATGGCATCCTGGACAAAAACACTTGATGAAACAGATAATCATCTTCTGTGACCTGTGCATTAGCTTGGAAGGCAATGCTCAGAAAAACTGCTAACCTATGTCTAGCAGTGGCATCAAAGGAAAAGACTGATGGGAAGGAAGGACTTTACAGCATCCCCAAGCACAAATCCTGATTTATGTGTATTTGCTATGTGTTTATTACAGGCTTTCAACAGCAGGAGACACGAGTAAGATGAAAGCAATCTGATGACCTCAAGGTTACAGTCTGGTGGGAGGTTCAGACATGAGAAAAGGTGACTGTACAAAGAAAAATGCCTTACATGTTTTATAATATGAAATATAAAATAATGAGCTAATAGAAAGTGATACCAAGGATCTCTGGGAAGATCCTTATCCTGACAAGGTGTGGTGACCACAGAAAGCACCACAAAGGTGACAGCTGAGCCAAGTGTTGAAAGGCAAGCTAATGCAGAAGGCACCACATGTGGAAAATGACAAACAGCTTAGTAAGGCTGGAAGAGCTGATACTACATCACAAAAGGCCTCATTTACTAAAAAAGAATTAACATTCATCCTGTGCATAAGAACTAGTCACCAACCAGATCTATCTTAGAAACATGAGCCTGCCAAATCAGTGGAGGACAAAGTGAAGGAGCAGCAGGATGGATGCCTGAGAGTGCCGACAAAAGGGAAGGAATCACAGTAGCAGGAAGTGTGGAACACACAGGAGCCAGTAGAGCAGCAATGGGAATGCAGAGAGGGCAGAGTCTGGGCAGCCCTCAAAGGAGGAGCAGACAGAAAGCATGCTTAGCGTACAAATAAAAGGAGGAAAAGTCAAGAGGGAAGTAACCTGTTTTGGAGCTAGGCAATTTGGTTGGTAATGGAGTTTGCTACTAGTAAAGGCAGGAAAATTAACAAAAAAGGCTTTCAGAGGAAGAAACATGCAATGTGAGTTTGAGATGCTGGTCATCTATTAGGTAATGTCTACCAGGGTGTGTCATGAGTACCCACCTCAGCATGGTATATGTCCTTATGCAGGAGTAGCTATGGGGACTATGTGTGGTGCGTGTACAGGGAACAGGCAGGAGAGTACGGTGTCCAGGAAAAGGAACAAATGCATAACAACCAAAGAAAATCTCATACACTGGAGGGCATTAGAGTTAGGGGAGGGAGCCAGACAGCCTGAGAAGAAAGAGCAGCCACAGCCAGGAAGCAGAGTGTGGAAACCACTACGATGACACATTCTAAGGATGGAGAACAGGTCTGCAGTGCCAAATACTTTAACAAATATATTAAAATATGCATCACTGATGATATTTACTGAACAACCTCTGTTATAGCAGAATGAGACAGGTAGTAGTGAGAAGAGGAACTGCTATCTGTGAAGACTCACTGCACAGCCGCACTACACAAGTGTATCACAGGCAGGGCATCATGTGAGCCATGGCACACTGTGAGGCAGGAGATGCCAACAGTCTTGTTTTCTACATAAAGAAGCTGAGACCAGAAGGATGCATGTACACTTGTCTAAAGACATGTGGGTAACCTATGGCAGAGTTACATCTCAAATCTGAGTAGCCACAGGGTCCAATGCTCTTACACTGAAATGTGGTGTGAAGGCAAGGCGAGCAAAACCTACTGGATTTGCTAAAATAAGGATGGTGCGCTGACTGCAATTCTCTGTTAGCGGGTAAGAGCCTGAACATGTTTCTGGAACAGGGAAACCTAGCTGGGAAGAGGCTTAAAGACAGAAGGCCTGTCAGGCACTGGGCAGTCTCAGGACATTGGGCTGGGAAGGACAAGGATCTCTGATGTTGCCTCATGGCAGCAGGGTAGAAAAAGAACTCCAGGGTCTTTCCTCACCACTAACCCACAGATAAGTATCAGGTCAGTATCTTTCCTGTTATGGGTAAAACTAAAGAAAGTTTTGCTTCCTTTCAAAATATATTTCAAACAAACAAACAAATTTAAGCACTTAAAATTTAACAATACCATATAGACATCAAACTCATCCAGGCATCTGAAAGGTGATTCTGCGATGGACCACAGGGAAAGAATGAAGCACACCGTGGAGAAAGAGCGTTCGCCGCCCGACAGTGCTCGCATGTCATTGAAGGCAGCTTTGTTTCCCTCTCCAGGCTGAACCTTGAAGACAATGGGCAAATGAGGGGAGAAAATGAATCATGAATTTCAAATGAAATTTAATGCAACACAGGTAAAAGTGTGTGTTTAGACGATCTTCTGACTAGGGCTACAGTAAGAACAAAGGAAAGTGAACACGAAATGCTATAAAAGTATTCCACATGAGGTATGTTACAGGAAAAGTATGCTATACAGTGGTACCTTTTGGTGTATTTCAAAACAATCAAATCAGACACTTTTCTTACTGTCATCTAATATCCAAAGCTCCAGAGCCTTAATAAGAGTACTAATGCAAAGCAACCATTATGTATCAAGATTAAGAATTTAAATTAGTCCTCCTGAAGCTGCTACTGTCTCAAACATAAGAAATGACATGAGATACTGCTTACTTGAATTGTAGCGACATCTAGTGGTTATATGGCTTTTAAACGTACATATATTCCCAAGTTTGCCACTTCTTTATCGACTGGACTTAAAATGTTTTTTTTTCTTCCCAACAGTTCAATGTACCTTATTTATAAATCCTCAATGTCTTTTTGTGTACAGCATACCTTATTTATACAGTACTGCAATTTCTGATTATACTGTACAGTGCATGCTAGTTTTATACTTTTATAAATTATAATACTGCACATAAGAGTTATGAGCATTAAAAAAAGTTATGAGCATAAAAGCTAAAGTCATAAAGCTGGAGTTTCCCCTAAAGATTTCTTTGTTCTCAATATTGTAATGTACATACTTATAAAATTCCTCATTTAGCAACCAATTCATTTATGATCTAACCACAGGAATATAACTTGTTCATGAAATGACGAAATGTCTATACTGAGGCAGACATGGTGGCACAAGCCTGCAACCTCAACATTTTGGGAGCCTGAGGATCACAAGTTGATCAACTTAGCAATACCTTGTCTCAAAAGAAAAACTAAAAGGGTGAAGTTGTAGATCTGTGCAAAAGCCCCGGCTTTCATCCCCAGCACTGGGGAAAAAATAAAAGGACCCAGGACCAACTTGATGAGTTATGCAAGCCGAAGAATACAAGTAGAAATGGGCTGAAACACATTTAAAAATCTTTTAAAAATTCTTCTTTACTAAATAAGGGTCCATAGGAACAGCAGAAATCCACTAACAAAGTTAAAAACAATCTCTTTTGTATACTTCCTGAGGTGATAATATTCATTTATTTTTCACATTCTAAGAGTTAAAACATTTCATTTTAAATATACACTTGTTTCTTTTCAAGAACACAATCCCTGAGGAAATAAGCAATCATGTTCCTTGGGTTTTTTCTCAAGGGTAGAAATGCTTAAACAGATGCTAGCTAATAGGTTTTTAAATTAGTTCTAGGCAATTAAACTGTCATCCCAGTTTTATGGATACCCTCACCAACACAGCCCTTCCAGCCTTGCATTCAAGTCACCTACTGGAGTGTACTGGTCACCTAATGAGGCACACATTTGCATTCTTCTTGGGTGACCAGCAATTCTGAGTACTCCTGCAAGTGCTTATTCCAACATTTGAATACCTTAAAGAGATCCCTGTTTAGACCTTCTGACAACTTAGAAATGCTCACCGTCTCTCTCGGTGCCCCCCACCTTAGGGATCAAACCTAGGACCTTGCATCTGGTGAGGCAAGCACATATGCTGCTGAGCTATATATCCCTGGCCCATCAATGTTTTTCTTAATATTGATTATTTTTAAACAAACCTAAGTCTGAGTCCTTTGAAATACATATGATTGCAGACGTCTTTTCCCAGGCTCTGTCTTCCCTCACCACTCTTTTAGTATTACACCCCCTACACACACACACACACACACACACACACACACACACACACACACACGGATTTAATTGAACCCAGAGCCTCTTCACTGAAATACTAGCTCTTTTTTGTGTTTTTATTTTGAGGCAAGGTCTTAAGTTATCAGAGTGCCCAGGATGGGTTAGAACATCCAACCTTCCTCCTTCAGACTGGCAGAGTGCTGGGATTAGAGATGTGTGCTACCATGTCCACTTTAAATCTAATTTTTGGATGAAGTATTTTTATTTTATAAAGCCCAAATTTTGGGGGGCTTTACTAATATTTTTTAAAAATGTCTTTGGTTGATTCAGGGTCTCACTATACAGCGTGAACTCGTGGTGATCCTCCTACTTTCAGCCTCCCCAGTGCTGAGATTACAGGTGTGCACCACCACACCCTAACTCTGGGGGTGGGGCTGGCGCAGCATATGATACTAGGGATCAAACTGTGGTCCTTGCACTTGCCTAAGCAGCACTTTAGTCCACTGAGCTATCTCGCGGGCTCCAAATTATTAATCTTGATACTGCCTTTTCTGTCCTATTTCATAAATGTTCATGAAAAAGCATAAAGATGTTCATTTTAACACATAATTTTACATACTTATGAAGTACAGCATACTTCAACACACAGACAGCATGTACTGACCAAGTCGCCGTAATTAGCATTCCTGAATGCTTTCTTTTTTTTCCATAATTTTACTGAGAGACAAATAGCAATGAGACAGTTTCAAATCAAATTGGTATGACAGTTTCAATAATTAACACATTGCATATTGTCTTCCTAGTGGTTATTTGTTGCATGAATGCTATTTCTTATATCTTTCTTCGTTAACTGTGTTGTAGCCCCATTATCAAACCATCTTCTAATCCTTTTCCCCTTTCCCTTCTCAACCTGCAGAGATCATAATTTCATATGCAGATTAACTTTTGTGAACTTCCACTTGGGAGGAAACATGGTACTGTATTTATTTTCTTCATTTGGCTTATTTCAAAAGTGCCCTGAAGGCATTCGAGGAAGAAAAAAAAAAAACCAAAAAAAAAAAACCCTTATTCATTTTGCTTATTTCACTAAATAAAAGGTTCTCCTGTTTCATCAACTTTTGCTGTACATAACTGGATTTCATTTTTTATGGCTGAATAAAATATCTCATTGTACTCATATCTGTACCTACTCAACAGATTTTCTTTATCTGTATATACTTTGATGGGCACCCTGGACTGATCTCATGACCTAGATAATACTGAGGCTGATACCCAGTAAACCCGGAGAACACAGGTATCTCTTTTGTATGTTAATTTCAATTCCTTTGAGTATATACTCTCAAGTGGTACTGCTGGACCATATACAGTTCTACTTTTAACCTTCATACTGTTTCCATAATGCTTATACTAATTTACATACCCACTAGGCATACATGGAAACATAGGAGAAGACTTTAAGATATCAGAATATTTTTGATAAGACCCCAAATGCACAAGCAAAAAGACCAAATGAAATTTGATACTAAGAAGCTTATGCATAGCAAAAGAAAGAGCAGAGTAAGAAACAACCTACAGAATAGGAGACAATATTTTCAAATTATTCACCTGATGAAGGATTAATATCAAGAATATAGAAGAAAAAAAAAAGAATATAGAAGGAACGGAACACTCAACAACACAAACACCAACATAATTTTAATGGGCTGAGGATAGGACTTAATGGTACAGTGCCTGACCGAAAAGCACAAAGTCCTGAATTCAATTTCTGGCATCAAAAAAAGAAAGAAAAAAATTTTTTATGGGGGTCTCAATACCCCACTGTCACAAAGAGACAGATCAAGGCAAAAATAAGGAAATATCAGAGCTAAATTAAAGCTTTTAACAAATGGATCTAATATGTATTTACAGTGTTGTAACCAAGAACAACAGAATACTCATTCTTCTCAGCAGCACACAGGACTTTCTCCAAATTAGACCACATGCTACTAGCTCATATAGCATGCTTAAATAAATGCAAAAGAGCTGGAATTATTCCATATATATTATTGGACCATACTGCCGTGAGACTAGCAATTCATGGCAAAAGACAGCAGAGAAACTATGCAAGCACATGGAAATTCAGTACCTCTTGCACAATCAATGGGTCACTGATGAAATTAAGGAAGAGATTAGACAGTTTTTATAATCAAATGATGATGCCAATATGACATACCAGAATCTGTGGGACACGATGAAGGCAGTCATAAGAAGGAAGCTTACAGCAGTGAATTCCCACACTAAGAAAACAGAATATGGGCAAATAAATAATGATTCACTTCAAGGTCCAAGAAAAATTTAAGCCCAAAGCTAATAATACAAAAAAGGAAATTATAAAGATCAGGGCAGAAATAGATAAAATTGAAAAATACAAAGAATCAACAAACCATAGTTGGTTCTTTGAGTGAACAAAATAGCCAAACTCTTAGTCAATCTTACTTTAAAAAGGAATAAAAAGACCAAAATACATTCAATTAGAAATGAAAAGGTGAAACCACAACAAATTCTTTGGAGATCCAGAAAGATTATCAGTAACTACTTTAAGAACCTGCACTCCAATAAAATGGAAAACTCAGAAGAATGGATAAGTTCCTAATACATAAACATTTATATGTAATATGAAAGTAAACCATTTTTAAATAAGTATCAGTTAATGAAATCAAAAGAGTAATACAGAAAACTATCAACTAAGAAAAGCCTGGATCTTGATGGACTCACTATTGAATTCTATAAAAACATTAGTGGAGAAACTAATGAAACTGAAGGGAAGCAGTACTTCCAAAGCCATTCCTGGAAGCAAGCATACCCTGATTCCAAATTCAGAAAAACATCCAACTAAAAAACAGAATTACCAATCAATCTCTTTAATGAACACAGATGTAAAATTCCCTCATAAGATCCTGGTGAACAGAAAAACATGCAGCAAATCATCAACAAGATCATATACCACTACCAAATAGGATTCATTCCAGGGATCAGGGAATGGTTTAACATATGGAAATCAGCAACTGATTCACTATCTAAGTAGAAGCAAGGACAAGAATCATATGATTGAATAGACCCACAGTGCAGGCCTGGCGAGTGAGTGAGATGACCGAGGGCCGCGGGATCCTGAATAGACCCAGAGCACAGGCCCGGGGAGTGAGTGAGATGACTGAGGTCCGGGGGATCCTGA